TCATCCTTCAAACATCATGAAACATTATGACTTTTCTGAAACACAAACAAATCAGGAGATGTCAAGATTTTCAAATGTTTACTCTAATGTTTGTAGCTACAGTCTGACATATTTAGAATAAGTCAACACCATTTGAGCTGTTTTGTTATAATTAAGTATCAGGTTAGTTTTAAAAGTCTGCAGAAATCATCGGACATTTAGTGTGATAGCCAAGTTCTATAAAAAATTTCTAATTCTTGATTAATTCAACTTTTGGCAGTTGAATTAACTAAGATGATATTTTATATTAAAAATAAACATAAAAGAGATCACTCTATCTGACATGTGCTTTATGTATAGCAAATAATGGTTGAGTTCAAATAAATGTATCACAACATGTTACCTGGGTTGGATACAAAGAATTTGCTAGGTCCTCAAACCCTAAGTACATAAGACATCTGGCTATGAGCTTCCGGTCTGGTTCTTGCAGGAGTTCAGAGTATTTGTCCAATAAGGAATGGATTCTCTTCATCATATCAACAGCTATGCTTAAGTCTTTGGTGGTTTTACCTTGGCACAAAATATAAATAATAAAATTATTGTAAAAGCCATCAAAATAACAAATGTTTATTAATAAAGATCAATTACCTAGCCTATCAATCTTCACTACACTTATTGAAACTCACTGTCTTACTCACCATCAATGGATATTTGAGAATAGAAAGGACCAGATAAAAATCTTACAGTTCACAATTAAAATATTGTTAAAATTGAAGTTTGTAGGATTTTATGGTGAATTATAAATATTTTCTTTTGGCCATGTCTCCTCTGTTAAAAATATAATTTCATGATTTTAAATATAAGATTATAATCGTAGCAACATTCATTTTGCCCTATTTTCCACAGAGAAATACTGGCTGTGAGCCCTGAATCCACAGTTTGCTCAGTGCAATCCATCTCTTCCAGCTACCACATCCAGACTCTGACAACCTGTCCACTTCTCTGGCATCACACACACTGTTCGTTTCTCTCCGCTGCTAAACTCTTCATTCTCACACCTGTTTTGGTCCCACTTTTCCTTTAGTTGGTACCTACTCTCACCTATTAAACGAGTACTACTAATCCCATATTGAAAGCTATTATACAGGAGGAAGCCAAGTAAAGGAAACAGAGGTCTTACACTCCGGGAGCAGTCAGTTCACTTACACAGTATATGATATGCGATTGGTTCACACCGAGCATTGGAAACTACAGACATTATATGGGGCTGATTCCTGAGGAAGTCTTTATGGAAAGATCGTTCATGAACTGGATGTGGAAGATAGGTGAAATCTGGTCGTATGAAAAGTAAGAACAAGAGCATCTCTGGCAGTTACTAATCTTAATTTCTCTATCCACCATGTAGTTCCAAAGATTCCTTATTTATGTCTCTGTGGTACTGGGAATTCTACATACCTAGGTAAAAGTATGTGTTTCCTGGTCCTCCTTGTGGTTAAAGTGCCCTGTGACTAAATTCTGACTAAGGATATCTGAGTATAAGATTTTGGTGGCCAGGAAAGTACATTAAAGGAGAGACAGGGCGCTGGAGAGACGGGTCAGTGGGGAGGGCAGTTGCCGCTCTTATGGAGTTGGGTTCCCAACAATGATGTCAGAAGCCTCACAATCACCTGGAACTCCAGCTTTAGAGAATCTGATGTCTTCGCCTGCATCTGTGGGCAC